ATTAGCATTGAGATTGTAATTAAACCCATGGGAGCAGATAAGATCATCTAGTGAAGCAGTGTAGAGGGAAAAGAGAAGAGGGCACAGGAAAAAAACAAAACCCTGAAGGACACCTATGGCTAGAGGGTTTGATGTGGAAGAGGATCTAGAAACAGAGACAGAGAAGTACTCAGATACTTAAGAGGAGAAACAGTATAGAATGGTGCTCTGAAAACCTAGAGAAAAAAGAGTATCAGGGAGGAGAGAGGAATCAACAGACTCAAAGGTTGCAGAGAAGTCAAAGAGAATGAGAATTGAGAAGAGGCCATCGAATCTGACAACTGAGAAATCATTAGTAACTTTAGAGAGAGCAGTTTCAATGGAATGATAAGGTAGAAGCAAGATTATAAGGGGTTAAGAAAGAAGTGAGAGGAAAGTGGAAGCACCTATTGTAAATAGACTTTTCGAGGAATTTAGCTACAAAGGGCAGAAGAGACTCAGAATGATGGTGGGGTTGGAAGGATCAAGTGAGAGCTTTTTTCAGGATGGGTGTAGACTTGTTTAGACATGGATAGGCATGTTGTAGGCAACAATAAATGATACAGAATATAAGGGAAACTTTGAAAATAAGTGAAAGAGTGGGCATGACAGATGGGGCAATCTGTTGGAGGAGAAAGGATGGAATAGGATCACTTGAATGAGTGGAGGGGTTAACCTTGGCAAGGAGTAAGCCTATTTCATCACGTGAGACAGGGATGAAAGAAGAGAAATTCATAGAAAGCACCTGAGCCACAGGAGATGAGGAAGTGAGGACAAGACAATTCACAATAAATGGTCTCATTTTTTAAAAGAAGGTATGAAGTAAGTTTCTCAGCTGAGAGAGTGGTTGGAAGGGTAACCATAGGAGAGTTGAGGAGGTATGAAAAGGTTTGAAAGGGCCAATGTAGAGAATAGGATAGTGAGTTAGTAAGGAAGAGATAGTAAGATTGCCTAGCAGCAGTGAGGGCCCAGTTGAGGTTATATAATATAAATGTGTCGTGGGCCAAATTAGAATAGTTGTATGATTTTCTCTACTTTCATTCAGAAGTATGTGTGTAGGAGCAAAGGTGACAAATGGTGGGAGTGATCCAAGGCTCTGGCTTGACTGGGTGTATTTGGTGATATGATAATGGGGGCAGAGATTCAAGAAAGAAGAATGTAGAGTCAAATTGATTTACTAATAGGTAAAGATGAGGAGAAGAGAGAGTAACAAGTGCAAGGGAACTGGCCTGGGAGAAAATTGAGAAGTCAAAGGATTGGAGGTCTCAGTGCAGATGAAAAGTAGGATTTTGTAAGGGAAGGGAAGGGAGAGATGAAAAGCTAATAGAGAAGGGGATTTCAGAATTCTTGATCATAAAGGTGGGTGATTTGTGGGTGATAGCAAGATCAAGAGAATGACTATCTTTATATGGTTGAGGTGGGTTGGAGGAGTAGTGCAGGGAAAGTGAGTACCTTAAGGAATTGAGTTGTTAGGGTATTTGGTGGAAAATCAATACGTATGTCGAAGTCTCTTAGTATAAGGCCAGGAGTTGAGGAAGAGAGAAAAATTGGGGGCCAGTTATTGAATGCATTGAGGAAGGAAGGAGAATGACTTGGGAGTCTGTAGACTACCAGTATTTTGATTGTATGAAATATATTAATAGCATAAATTTCAAAGGAAGAGAGTTTACCAAGTGATGGAGGAAAAGGAAAAACCTGGAAGTGGCAATGGGAACATTGTACATTACTTTTCCTCTTGCACTTTTTAATACAGCCAGAATGGCTTCCCTCATGGCCCCCCATCTCCTGCCTTCATGCCTTTGGCCTGGCCACCTCTCATGCCTGGAATGTTTACTCTTCTTACCTCTGAATCATAGAGTCCCTCTTTTAAAAAAAAAATATGCAACTCAAGCATTATCTTCAGCATGAAGTCTTTCCCATTCCCTCTCAACTGCTTGTACCCTCCTCCAAACTATTTTGTATTTAGCTAATTTGTTCATATTCATATTTTGACTTTATGTTCACATATTTATAGATATGCAAAAATATGTATGTATTTATATATGCTTGTCTCCACCACTAAAATGTAAACTTACGGTGAGTGGTTATTGTTTTATTCTTTGTACTTATATACCCAGTGCCTAGTTATAGTGCTGAAAACATAATGCTTATAAATACTGATTGATTGATTAATTGATTCCAGAAGTGGAGGGGAATCTGGACAAAATCATGGAGAAAGGAGATGGAATGACACATCTAAGGGTACACTGGTTTATATCAACCGTTGGATGTCATAGAGGGAGCATTACATATTAAGCTAGACAATACATTTGGCACCAATTATAAAGTTAATTATTGATAGAGACCAACTGGGAGCTTACTTGTACTGACATTCAATCCAAGTTCCTTCCACTACATCACACTGATTCCTGAGGGAGAGAAATATGATAACCAGAGTTGTAAAGTAAATATATTAGGCTAGCCACAAGAAGGTAGGAAAGATTGGATTTGGAAGAGACATAAATCAGAGATATCAGTTAAGAGAATATTTTGACAATCCAAATGAAAGTGCCTGAACAAGTATAGTGACAGTAGATAAAAAGACAATAGGTTCAGTGTAAGAAATATTACAGGGAAAGCATAGTTGGAGTAAATGATGAACTCTAGTTAGGGAACTGTGAGAAGTCAAAGATGTGTGTGAGGTTTCCAGTCTGAAAGAATCATAGTACCCTTAAGAGAAGTTTTTAAAAAATCAAGAGGAGCACACTTTTAAGGGAGGATGAGGTGAGCTGGAGAAATATTGAATTTGCAATATTGAACAGACAAATATAAATATTCTTTAAAACTGTGGGAGAGACTAGGTTAGAGGTACTAACTGGGCATAAATCCAAATAGAAGTTATAATGGAATGCTTGAGATTGATGATGGGGCAAATAGGTTATATAGTGGGAAAGTGTTGGTCTTAGAGTTGAGAGTACATGAGTTCAAATCTTCCCTCAAACTCTTACAGGTTGTGTGACCCTGGCTGTGACTTAACAACTCAGCCTCAATTTCCTCATTTTTAAATTGGGGATAATAGCACCAACTTCATAGGGTTGCTATGATGATCAAATGAGATGAACTATGTAAAGTGCTTTACAATGTTAGTTACTATTAGTGTTTTCAATTAAATTTTTATTTATTAAATATTTCCAATTATATATATTTTTAATTTTAACATTCATTTTTTAAAAATTATGAGTTTCAAATTCTCTCCCTCCATTCCTGACCCTGATGTATCTGCTGAGAAGGCAAGAAATATATCAGTTATATATGTGAAGTCATGCAAAATATATTTCCACATTAGCCATGTTGCCAAAAAAAAGAAAAAAGAATAAGAAAGTGGAAAAAAAAGAATGCTTCGATCTATACTCAGAGTTCATCAGTTCTCTCTCTGAAGGTGGATAGCATTTTTTACCATAGGTCCTTTAGAACTGTCTTGATCAGAGCAGCCAAATCTTTCACAGTTGGTCATAGTACAATATTGCTGTTATAATGTTCTCCTGGTTCTGTTCACTTCACTTTACATCAGTTTATATAAGTCTTCTCGGTTTTTCTGAAACCATCCTACTCATCATTTCTTATAGTTCAGTAGGTTCCATCACAATTACATATCATAGCTTGGTTATCTACTCCCCAATTGGTAGGCATTCCCTCAATTTCCAATTCTTTACCACCACAAGAGCTGCCATAAATATTTTCTTAAAAATAGGTCCTTTTCCCCTTTTCTTTGATCTGTTTTGTTTACAGACCTAGTGGGAGTACTGCTGGGTCAAAGCATGTGCACAGATTTACAGCCCTTTGGGCACAGTTCCAAGTTGTTCTCCAGAATGGTTGAATCAGTTCACAACTAAACCAATAGTGTATCAGTGTATTTATTTTTACACATCCCCTCCAACATTTGTCCTTTTAATTGCTATTACTGTTGGTGAAATTTCAAAGGAGAAAATTTTAGAGGATAAAAGGAAATTTTTTGTCTGTTGTTTAGTTATTTCAGTCATGTCTGACTCTTCATGACCCCATTTGGGGTTTTCTTGGCAAAGATACTGGAGTGGTTTGCCATTTCCTTCTCCAGCTCATTTTAGAGAAGAGGAACTGAGGTAAACAAGGATAAGTGACCTGCCCGGGGTCACACAGCTAGAAAGTGTCTGAAGCCAGAATTGAATTCAGGAAGATGAGTCTTCCTGACTCCAGTCCTGGTACACTATTCACAGCACCACCTGGTGGCCCAATGGTTTCCCTTTTTTTTTTTTTTACCATGCAAAGAAATGACCGCAGTCATGTGACCTTACAGTAATATGGACCTTATAGTATCTGAATTGTATTGGGGATATTAATAAATAAGTAAGAAGGCTATCTCCCTCTCTTTTTCCTATTTACAAGCATATATGTTTGTCTTGCAGCATCCTTAAGATATTAATATGTCAAGAAGAATTAAGGAGGAAATAAAATATATAAAGAAACCATTGTTTGTGTTTGTGTTGTAGATGGAAATTATAGAAAATAATTCATTTTGTGTGTAAGCCCTCTGGCTAAAGATACAAACAAAATCAAAAGATTGTCAAAATCAAAAACTCTCAAGTTGCTTACAGTCTAATGATACCTACAATACCAGCACTCAGGTTTTATTGTGATGCTGAAGGAATGTATATAAAGTTCACCATAGGGGCAGCTAGGTGGCGCAGTGGATAGAGCACTGGCCCTGGATTCAGGAGGACCTGAGTTCAAATCCGATCTCAGACACATAACACTTACTAGCTGTGTGACCCTGGGCAAGTCACATTGCCTAGCCAAAAATAAATAAATAAAGTGCACCATAAATCTTAAAGTAATACCATTTTATAATAATATATTCCTTTATTCTATTACCACAAACACAAGAATTTCAAACAATGATAAATAATATTGTGTCTTTGATGTGTCTTCTTTTCTCCACAGTGTTGCCTCTGGTACCCTACAAAGCAATGGCTCCATTAAATCAATCTACAGTAATCACGTTTATCTTAGAGGGATTAACAGACCGGTCAGAGCTCCAACCGCTCCTCTTTATCCTCTTCCTGGGCATCTACGTTGTCACTGTGGTGGGAAATTTGGGCATGATCCTACTAATTGCTATCAGCCCTCAGCTGCAATCTCCAATGTACTATTTCCTCAGCAACTTGTCCTTTGTGGATCTCTGCTATTCCTCTGCCATTACTCCCAAACTTCTGGTGAATTTCACAGGGGACAAAACATCATATCCTACATTGAGTGTATGACACAGCTTTTTTTCTTCTGTTTTTTTGTTGTTTCTGAAAGTTTCATGCTGACAGCCATGGCCTATGACCGTTATGTTGCCATCTGCAGTCCCCTGCTCTATAATGTCATCATGTCTCCAAGGGTCTGCTCCTTTTTGGTGACAGGGGTGTATACTATGGGTATCTCTGTCGCTCTGGTTCACACAAGTTGCATGGCCAGATTGTCTTTTTGTGGTCCTAATGTCATTAAACATTACTTCTGTGACATTATCCCCCTTCTGAAGCTCTCCTGCTCCAGCACCTACCTCAATGAGCTTCTGGTGTTGGTCATTGCTACATTCAATGTATTTTCAACCACTGCTGCCATCTTCATCTCTTATGCTTTCATTCTCACTAGCATCCTTTGCATCCAGTCTGCTGAAGGGAGGTCTAAAGCCTTCAGTACCTGCAGCTCCCACTTGGCAGCTGTTGCTATCTTTTATGGCACCATTATTTTCATGTATCTTAAGCCACCATCAAGCAGTAGCATGACTCAGGAGAAGGTGGCCTCGGTATTTTATACCACAGTTATCCCCATGCTGAATCCTCTAATCTACAGCCTGAGGAATAAGGATGTCAAGGATGTACTAAAGAAAATCATGAGGGGTACCATATTTTTCAGGTCCATGTAGCACCAAACAAAATTAAAGATAACAATGATCTTGATTTTTCTTTCTACTTTGTCTAAAAAAGGAACCAATTTCCCATGAAATGAGGATTAACTTTGGAAAACATTGTGAAGCAGCTGAAACCATAACTTCAGAGCCTTTAATTTTCATTCATTCATTCAACAAGTATTAATTAAACACCAACTTCAAGAAATACAGCTGTTCTTGTTAGGTATTAGAGATATAAAGAAAAAAATAAAACAATTCCTGACCCTACGAGTTTACTTTCTATCATGGAGTTGCAACACATACACCCTCTCAGTGTCCACTCCATTTCATTCCTTCTTTTCACCCAAACGCCCAAAATTCAGTTCAGTGTCTCCAAATTAGCCTAGTTTCCTAAAGCCTCCTTACCTACCCCATTCACCTAGAGCTGGCCTTCCATAACCTCTTTCCTTCAGCAAAACTTATCTTTTTAATATCCCACTGCTCCAGGGCTTTGCTGCCAGGCAAGTTAGCCAACCCCTCAAATTCCAATTAAAGGAAGCAGGATTACAGAAATGAAACTGAGAGAGCTTCAAGACATGCTATCCTCTAGTAAATTACAACACGCCACCCATGCTTTTTAAAGTTACCCATCACTGTTTTCTTTGATTTTAGATATTGAAGTCTACAAGTGGGGCATAGTGTTGCTTGGGGAAAAGAGGGACAAGCCGCTCCCTAGAATTCATGTACTACATCCACGTAAACTTCTCCTTGCCTCTATAATAAATCTCTTTTCTTTTTAAAATCAGAACTGAAGGTTGCCTTGAGTAACACAACACATTTTCAAATACAGAGTATAATCTCTAACTCAACTCTATTCATTGCTACCTTTTTGTGATTATTTCATGGATATACTTCCATTAATTATATGTTGGTCCTCATCTCCCCTATGAGACAGTATCCAAGTCTTTCTCTTTACTCCAAATGCATAGCTTACTCTCAGGGACCTTGTGGACCATCACAAATTATTATTAGGGACATTTAGAGAAAAGAACACTTAACGTGTATATAATCTAGCTGTGGCTCTGCTCCTAAAACTGTCTGTGTAACCTTATGCAAGTCACTTCCTTATATAGAAATGCTTTTTTTTTTCAAAATCTGTAAATGAAAGTACCTATATGTACAAAAATATTTATAGCAGACCTTTCTGCAGTAGCAACAAAAATGGAAATTGAGGGGATGCCCATCAATTGGGGAATGGCTGAACAAGTCATGGTATATGATTGTGATGGAATACTACTGTGCTATAACAAATAACAAGCAGTAGGGGGCAGCTAGGTGGCACAGTGAATAGAGTACCGGCCCTGAAGTCAGGAGAACCTGAGTTCAAATCTGGCCTCAGACCAAACACTTGACATTTACTGGCTGTGTTACCCTGGGTAAGTCACTTAATCCCATTTGCCTAAAATTAAAAAACAATAACAAGCAGGATGGTTTCAGAAACACCTGTAAAGATTTACATAAACTCATCCAAAATGAAGTAAGCAGAACCAGTAACAGCAATATTGTAACAATGATCAATTGTGAATGACAATTATTCTTAGCAATATCATGACCCAAGACAATTGTAAAGGACTTATGATGAAAAATATTTCACCTCCAGAGGAAAATAAAAAACTGATGGAATCTGAATGCAGATCAAAGTATACTTTTTTTAAACTTTCTTTGTTTTTCTTGCAGTTTTTTGGTCTGTTTTTTGTAGCATGGCTAACATAGAAATATGTTTTGTATGACTGCACATGTATCGTCTACATCAAATTGCTTGCCTTCTTTTTTATTCACTTATTTTAAACTTAAATACACAGTAAGAAAAGAAAAATAAGATGTTGCCATGTGCACAGCAGAATGTAAGAGAGGATTCAAAATATACAGCAACAAACTTCCATTTCAAGAAAGCCTATATAATAAATACTACACATTTTGTTTAGAACTGTCCATCTTTTTTTTTGTTTCCTTGTAAGTTTTCTTTTGTTGTCTGCTGGCCACTTTTTACTTTGTTCTTTTTACCCTTTCCTTCCCCCCACCCCAGAAGATCATCCTGAAGTGTTTGGAACCCTTTTGCCATCACACTCAAAGCCATTATACTGGGGAAACATCATTTCTAAGGAGTTTGACTTTGATTCTAATCACCACATGGAAAAAGAAGAAAAAAAAACATGTAGAGAAAAAAGTCTGAAATCTTAGGCTTTTCCTTCCCACTTCAAGAAGAGTCTTACATCTGATAATCTGATCCGTATGGTGAGTGATAGCCAATATCTATAGTTCACAGTGGGTCTCAATGCATATTGGTTATGATGAACAGGAGCAGAATAACCTTGACATCTACAGCACAATCAACAATTCTTCATGCGTCAAGGTTATCTGCAGTAGAGATCATAACCTTTTTGCACGTAGCTAGTCCTAAGAGCTAAGTGCAGACTAAGGTTTCTGTACACTTCCACTCACTCAATTTATCCAGCCTTACCCACAATAATCTCCCTGGGAGTTATATTGTATCAGGAAGGAAGGAAAAAAGAAAGTACTGGGTAAGTGCCTACTATGTGCCAGGCATAATAGTAACAACGCTGGGTGGTAGATGACTTCCTGACTCCAAGCCCAGGAATCTTATCTACTATGCCACCTATCTTCATCATTAGGGGGATGATACCAAATCTTTGGCTCCTTAGAGGCCTCTACAGAAAGGCCACACCCTTCTTCCATGGTGGGGTAAATAAAGACTATTCCTCACCTTTATCTTGAATTATCATCAAGTTAATTCAAGGATCCCTTTCCTTCCAAGCAAATATACATTAATCATGGTTATCTAAGTGATATAGGGCATGGTTACATAGGACAATTGGTCCCCATGCTGTTAAAAAACCAAGGCACCTCCCAATAATACAACCTCTTGGGCCTTCAAAACCTTCTGGGAAGGAATTATCTGAACCATCCTGGAAGATAAAGTGAATGCGGATACAGCTATTGACTACCTGGAGTAAATATCTTGTGTGGAGAAGGGGCAAAAAAACCCCAACATTTTTCCAGTTGAGGACAAGCTGAGGACCATTGGGTTAGATGGATGTTCTTACTAGCACAAGTAATATAGTTGGTCAAGAATAGCTACCACATCCTTATTGAGGGACCATATAGTCCAGAAAAATATGGCATTACCAATCCAATGTTCAGATTGGTATTGAACCCACATGCATAACCTTTGCTGTTATTGTAACTACTTCTACCTAATTATTTAATTCAATGAAGAGCATGCATCTCTGCTTGGTGATGACATGTCCCACAAACTATTAGACACAGTGGGAGGCATTGGTAAATTTGTTCCATTGGTTCAGAACCCAAAGGTGAGGGCTTTTTTTTCCAGGGTCTAGGCCACTTAAGCAGCCACATGGCCATCATGAAGTCATATAACCAGTTAGAGCTAATTGTGAAATTAAATTCTATGCTTTTTCATGTTGATTATATAAACAATAGTGAATAGAGATCTGGTCTTGGAATGAGGAATACTTGATTCAGATCCTGTCTTTTGGGCCATACTAAGAGACTTTGGGGAATTTCTCTTTTAGGTAAGATCTGAAACTCTCTCTTGATTGAGCTGCACTACCTCACTTTCAATGGAAGAACTCTTTTAATTTGTATTGTCTAGTATACATTCTCATATGTATTTTCCTCTGATATCTGTTTCACTAATGACTTGGATAAATGGATTCCTTTGTTATTTGATATGTGTATTCATTGTGAAACCAGTATGTGGAGGGAAGGGAGTCAGGCACTGGATATAAAGTTGAAAGTCTTCTTTTCCTCATTAAGAAATAGTAATCAAGAGTTTAACTTAAATCTGAAAACTATATCTCCTAGACTAATAATATTTAAGGAAGTAGATAGATATAATTCTAGCCTTGTACCCTGTCTTTCCGAGGAAAATAGAGTGGCAGTAGACCCCAGCCCTAACCTCTTGCTTTCTTTCTTGGCAGAAAACCAGGAGTCTACTTTCAACTTCTCCCAACTGCACCTGTTCTTTGAGGGCATAGGAGTGTTGCCCTTCACTCAGTCATGAGCATTCTCATACCTGGTCATACCCTTAACATCATCCAAACCCCATTCCACATATCCTAAACACCAGATTTCCCACTCCCAACCTCTTCAACCATCCCAACCCGAAGTCTAATCCTAATTTCACCCTGCCATTTTACCATGCCCTCTGAAACCATTGTCCACAAGCAACAAACTTCCCTTAATCTTAAATTTATTTCTCTCCCGCTCCTTCCATCTACTAGCTCTTATTGAAACTTGGCTTCCCCCTGTTGACACAGCCTACTTGGACACCTTTCTAGTACTGGCTGCACCTTAACACATTTTCCTCAGCTCACTACTTGAGATGAGGGTCTGGGGGGCAGTGTTGGAATATTCATTGTTCCCTGTTGCAACTTCCAGGTCCTCCACTTTCTTTTGTTAATTTAATTTCATTTTTTATTCTGAACTTAAGAAACAAAACAAGCATTTACCTAACATAACAGAATAAACAGGATTGACATAAAACTGCAGATTTATTATGTATAACTTGCTTTTCATTTAAAATATATAATAAAGTTACCATATAACTTTCTTTTTTCTCCTCCCTCCCAGCCCCACATTAGAGATAGCTATCATTAGAAACCAATGCATGTATATTTATTTCTATCTATCCATCTGTCAAACCATACCATACATACTTCTATTAATCAGTTTATTCTTGCGATACAGATAATATCTTCCTTCATAGATCCTTGCTGTTTATTTTGGATGTTTACAAAAGTCAAAATAACTACTCACTTAAAGTTGTTTTTAAAACAATATTCTAGTTACTGTATACAACCGTCTCTTGGTTCTGCTCAATTTCCTCTTCATTATTTCATGCAAGTCTTTCCATGTTATTTTTCTAAAATCATCAAACTCTTCATTTCTTATAGTATACTAGTATTTTATCACAATCATATACCAAAACTTAT